AGTACAAAATGTCACCTGATTATTCCTTGATAAAAACCCTATTTTACTAATTGGTTGTGATTTTTACGTCTTTTTAACTGACTTATTTCAGATCAAACTTTGCCAAAATGTGATCTTAATGCAATTTTCTCCAGCAAAAATATAAATGTTTTCTGTTTGTGAACAATAAAATGAAACATTAAAATAATCTATGCTAGGTCAGTGCAAAGATTTGTGTATCCTGTCTGTGGCTAGTAGTGGATAGTTAAGAAAGTATATTATGATAATGTAAGGATATTTCCCTGCTATATTCTCCCAGCTTCCATTGAGTACTAGTGAGGAAAATGTAGGAGAACTCTGAAAACTTTTGGAAATTTCTTACCTTTCCCTATTACATTAAGCACTCTTTTGGGACCTTAAAGCCTCTGATTTGCTAGTCATCCCGAAATGTTATGCAAATTTCAAGGGAAAAGCAAAATGACTATTTTTGGAATAAAATGTAAAATTTAAAGAATTAATCCCTCTACCTGGAAACATACAATGAACAAAATATAGAAAGCTAATGACAAAATAGTTCTTCTTAGTCATTTAAAATGCAATTTTGGAACAGTGCTTATGACCCACTGGGTTTCAGAGAGACATAAAATGTAGTTAACTACAAACACGTTCATGAAATACAGATGTTCCTTTTCCTAATAGATTGATAGCCGAGGATGACTTGGATCACCTCATGTACTTCCTTGAATTTAAGTACAAAACTTTAACACAAATAATTCTGGAAGTATTTGCTATAGCAATATGAATGCAAAAAACAATGAGTATGTTGACAGAGTGTGTATGTACTGGGAAACAAACACATTTAATAACAGCTATGGGTCTTGAATAGGTGACTCTAATGTTAACTTTTAAGATTTAACACTATGCCCTAAGGCATTCTCAAAACCATACTCCTTGTCCATAGAAGATGACAAGCACGGTCTGAGACAAAGCTGAAGACATCTTATCGCTTGGGACCCCACAGATTTGAGCAGCAGTATAAACATAATGTTCTGTTAACTAAAATGCTTGGATTTCATTACTGAATTTTCATTACTGAACAATACTGAATTGTCTCATGAACAGCAAAATTAATGGGGTCTGCTTTTCTGTGTATTTTTCTCCTATGTCCTGCATAGAAGTCCCATTCTCGTTGCTAATAATCTCCTGAATCCCTATTATTTTCTAAGTTTCTCTGTGGCAATAGCTTGAGTTCCCCTTTTATGTCCCTCAGATCTCTCCCAGATGTCTAAGGGTCCTCCAAGGCAATACACGCTCAGCATCTGAGCTTAGCTGGCTGGTCTGTGCCTGCTGATAGGCAATTGGAATAGGCAACTGCTGAGCTTCTGCTTCAGCATTTCTCCCAGCAGCAACTCATTCCAGGCCCCAGTTCTCCTGAAACCTTGTTGAACTTCAAGTTTGTGTGATTTCTACCCCAACCTCAAAAGTGTTCAAAAAGTATCGCACAAAAATAAAGGACAGGTGAGCATAACAATTGCACAAGTTTGTTTCCTTAAGTTTTCTGGCTGAAGAAAAAAAAAAGATTTTATATTTGAAGATAAAATTCTGAAATGCACTTTGAAGGCTAAAGATCTTGAAGGCAAATCAAAAGAACCTGGCACAATCATTTTTCTTTGCCAGCCTCAGTGTTGGGAATGGAAACGAAAAGTTACATCATTTTTTCAGGGTTTTTTTTGGCTAATAATATGTCATTCTCTTCTGCACATGAAAGCTTATGTATCTTGTCAAAGTAGTAGTGTTCTTGTAGCAAAGACAACCTAACTAAGATATAAACAAGAAAAGCTGTGTAGTTATTAAGTCAGCCAAAGTATCTGGAAAAAACAGCAAGCACGCAAGTCTTTCTTCAGGTCTGAAATAGAGGCAGTAAACTGCAGACTAACTACAGGTTGGAAACAGTTGAGTTTGGCATAATAAAATTATGCTTGAAGAAATTGTTCCCAACTCTGTGCTTAACAGAAATGTACTTCTCCTCTCTGTTCTAGATCTATGAAAGCTTTGAGTGCCTCTTTGTTTGTTTATTTCTTTTTCCAGCCATATTAGGTGTTTAATAAAATACACTACTTCTCCTTAGGAACATTCCTTGCTTCACAGATATGTTTTATATTCCACTTACTTCCTCGGTTTTCTTTTCATAAGAGCAAGGAGTTTGTTTAAGCAGAAGTTGCTCCTGACAAGAAAAAAAAAAAAAGAATCATTCTTAGTCTAGGCATTTCTAATACGAATTTCAGTATTGTAGCTCCTTATAATAAGATTCAGGTTTTTGTAACTAATGTGGTGGCTTTCCTCATAATTTTTTATATTCCTTTTTATATTCCTTCTGTTCCCTTTTGCTGCAACTTCATTTCCTCTGGTCAGGAGAGCAAACCACTTAGTGATAGATTTTCATCTTAGCGTAATAACACGTGAAAAGGGAGAAGGACGTGTAAATGCAAAGAAGAAAAATTATTATTATTTCAGAATAATTATATATGGTGTCTGGAGTTTATATAGAACACATATGGGAACACATAATGTGAAAAAAGCCACATGTATTACATCCCGAGTAGGCTGTAATCTAAATAAGATAAGACAAATATAATTCAATAGAGGCACAGTTCAAAGGGGAGTCTCCTCAGCTTGCCAGCACTGGGAAAAAGGGAGAAAGGATTTCCTGAAAATCTTCTTTTAAAGGGAGACAGCTGATAAGAATAATAATATATCTTCTGTGAATAAGAAACCATGTAGACTGCAAAGAAACGTATTTTAGCTGGTATATAAACACCTATGCTCCAACTTCTGCCTTCTGGATTTTAGGGAGTCAAACTGCCTGTTAGGTTGTCACCGCAGAGCGTACTTTTCCTTCCTCTGAGACAAGTGGCAATGATGACCACTGGTGAAAGAGGATGTCAGAGACAAACCACTGACTGCTCTGGTATGACTGCCAAAGCTGCTAGAACAGGAGAGACCATGTGTGACAGTCATAAGGCAGAGAGACAAGGCAAGGAGATGGAAAGGATCAAAGAAACAGATAGAAAACACTGAAAACTACAGAAGGGTGTGTGAGCTGTAGACAGGGTTTATGCAGGTGAGGAATAAGCTTTTCTGTTTTAGGAAGTATGTATGAAACGAAATATGCATGTGAATGCAATCAAAGCAGTAGGTGAGATACAGAAGCATCATCATGGGAAAGTTTGAGGAGCAGGAGTTCACATTGGAAGACTGATGTGGCCAAAGCAAGATATCACCAGTACTAGCTACAACCAGTATTTACAGGAACTTAGGTAGGAAATCATCTACTTGAGAAAGAGGATATAATAATAAATAAATAAATAATATGCAGGAAAGGAAAAGCCAACTAATAGTATCCTCCCATATTTCAGTTTGAGTCTTCTCTGAGACTCACCACAGACTACTGAATTTCAGTTCTTGCAAACTAAACGTTTTGTCCATTGGTATCACTTGACGGTTTCCGAGCCAAAAGGCAGACATGCTTATTCAAAACATAAAATAGTGTACTCAGCTCAGCGTAGACAAACGTGGCACGTCTTCTCAGCCTCCAGTGTCAGTGAACACCAAATATCTGCTCAGGTAGGCTGGTTAAAATAAAAATGACTCCTAAGTGGAGTGCTTTCTAATGCAATTCCCTGTAGGAACAATGAAAAAATCCCTCTATTTTATATTTTTTTGATCCAGTCATAAACTTCTAAGCTTCTAAATTTTTTAAGTTAAGTTTCTTTAGAAGTTTGCAGCTGGTATACCTATGCATTGACTGAGTGAAGTATTAGCTGCGCTGCAGCTTCACTCAGCTGCTGCATGGCCTCTGGGGAGGCAGGATTTCATCCTCAATAGACCCAACTTGTCAGGGCTGGAGGCAGGGCAATGCGATAAAGAACAAAAGAGAGAGGGCTGTACTTTCAGTGTTTCCATCTCACATTAGGAGTGACTGAAACGCCATATAGAGAAGATCAGTTTCTTGCCAATGAGTCTCATGGACACATTTCCTCCATCCCTGGAGGTATTTAAAACACAGGTAGATGTGGTGCTTAGGGACATGGTTTAGTGGTGGACTTGGCAGTGATAGGTTAACAGTTGGACTCGATGATCTTTTCCAACATTAATGATTCTGTGATTCTATGATTCTATGATTTCCCATTACCTAACTTCTAGTACCAAGGAAGTCTCTTAATTTTATCTCTCCTTTAAAAAAATATGTCCTTTCTGGAAATGTTCAAACTTATTCTTGAAAATTACACTGACTCAATCAATGTCAGATAACATGGTTTAATTCATGATCTAAAACTGAGAGCAAATGTTGTCTCCTAAATATCATGATGGGGAGTGCATAGGGAAAATAACTTCCTATAATGAATGACAAAGGAAAATATTTGAGATTGGATACAGCCTAATCTATTCCAAAACCAGGATTGCTTTATTGCTTATTTCTTTCCTATATCTGGCAGTCACAGCTTAGTAACAGAGGGTGAATTTTTATCACAGGCAAGAAAATAATCCAATCTTTAATTTAATTTGATCAGAAAGTTTTTCACAAGAGTTTTCTAAAACACTCCAAGGACATCACTGTAAGAACACCAGGAGATTTCCAGTTCCCATTTTTCCTGACTTAAGAAACGTGAATAAGCAGAGTCATGTTGAAATAGTTCTTCACAAGTAAAGACTATGGTTTAAAATAATTTTTATTGTTTAAAGAGAACAGAAATGGAGGTAAGAGTTCTCAGGTATTAATTAATAGTTTATTAAGCAAAATAATTTTAATATATATTAAATTAAATTAATTACATTAAATTACGACACTCCTCCATGGTACGTATTAGTAGACTCATTTTAGAGATAGTCAAACTGGAGCACAGAAAGCTATGACCAGTAATTAAAATGTACAGGTAAAATATAATGATGGTTTTATTATTGTATAAAGATTCTGCTAGTTACAATAATTACATCTAGTTATTTTGCCAACTTTTTTCTAGGGTTTTGGTAGCCCATCAGGTGAACTTTGGCTGGGAAATGAATTTATCTTTGCAATAACAAGTCAGAGGCAATATTCTCTAAGAATTGAATTAATGGACTGGGAAGGAAACCGGGCATATTCACAGTATGACAGATTTCACATAGGAAATGAAAAGCAGAATTACAGGTAAGAATCTACTGAAATTCTTTTGACTCTGCTGAGTGATAAATATTGTTAATTGTTCGCTTGTTAAATATGAGAAAGGACAATAACCTGTGTCGTGGTTTAACTCCAGCTGGCAACTAAGCACCACACAGCCGCTCACCCACTCACCCCCGCTGTGGCATGGGGGACAGAATTGAAAGAGTAAAACTGAGAAAACTTGTGGGTTGAGATAAAGACAGTTTAATAGGTAAAGCAAAAGCCACACATGCAAGCAAAGCAAAACAAGGAATTCATTCATTACTTACTTCCCATGGGCAGGCAGGTGTTCAGCCATCTCCAGGAAAGCAGGGCTCCATCACAGGTGATGGTTACTTGAGAAGACAAACGCCGCCACTCCAAACATTCCCTCCTTCCTTCTTCTTCCCCCAGCTTTACATGCTGAGCATGACGTCATATGGTGTGGAATATCCCTTAGGTCAGTTGGAGTCGGCTGTGTCCCCTCCCACCTTCTTGTGCACCCCCAGGCTACTTGCTGGTGAGGTGATGTGAGAAGTAGAAAAGGCCTTGGCTCTGTGTAAGCACAGCTCAACAGTAACGAAAACATCCCTGTATTATCAACACTGTTTCCAGCACAGATCCAAAACATAGCCCCAGACTAGTTACTATGAAGAAAATGAACTCTACCCCAGCCAAAACCAGCACAATGTGATACTGATTGTCATCAAAAGTGAATAAACAGGGTAAAAATAAAATAAAATCTGTTTTCTCAGTAATGCAAGGTTAAAGTAAAACTAACATATCTGAGAACAAGGGATGATCTATTAATTGTGCTGGCTGGTAAAACTGCTAAAAATTGTATAACTTTTAGCATATCTGAGACCATCAGAACTCAAAACTGATTGAAGAGAAAAAGGGTATGGATTCTTCATTACAACTTGAAGGATTTCTACCTCAGAAGCATAAAACTGAAACAATGGGCATGGGAAGAAAAGACAAAAAATGCTGTTAAAACATCTGATATTTCCAAACTAAAAATTCAGTTTAAATGAAGAGGTAAAAACCAGAATGCTGGATCCTATTGTGAGGAGATAAAACACAAAACAAAGTGTCAGGTACTGGATAGCCTTGATTAATCATCATCAACAGCATGCCATTTATTATAGTTCGAAAAAGACATGAAATTAAAAGTTTTTCAAATAATATTTTTCTCCTATTTTTTTTAAGATAAAAAAGAAACTTAAATCTGCTTATTAAAAAAAAAAAAGCTTGGAAACACAAGAGATGTGGATGACCTGATGACCTAAGTGGTTTAATTTTTTTTTTGTTTCAATCATTGCTTCATCTGAACAGACAGTACAATGCTGGAGAAAGAAAATGAAACCCAGAAAAATATCTTAAATTATTTATTACAATACATCTAGTTAGCATAAACTTAGGAGAGAAACAAATATATTGTAAAACCGAACATTCAAGTCATAGCATGTGAAACTAGGTTGGTATTCAGATTTTTAAATTCAAGTAACTTGATTCTCAGAAATGCTGATTGCCTCCCTCCCCCTTGGGCCTCCAGAGAAATGGAGGTGAAAGCAATTTGCTCTTTCTGCTGACAAGACTCTGCCCAGGTGGGACACAAAGCAGTGCCCCTGTCCTGTGGAGCTTGTCAGAGGGCACTACTGCATAGTGTAGAAGAGCAAAAGCTACATTTAGAAGGAATCTGTATGAATTTAGTTCCTGCATAAAGCTAGGGCTATCGCATGGCACACAAAGGACAGGTCTGTCCTCCATTGCCTCCAGCAATGCCTTACCTGGCACTGCCCGTGACATGCCTTTTCCCCAGATTCAGGAAGGTAGAGCACCCATTCTGAAGCACTCTTAGGCAAAGAGTAAATATATGTAAAGGAAATTTCTCAAAACAGAGGCTAGAAGTATTTATACAAAACATGAAAACAGCAGTGTAAAAGTGGATAATGTGGGGTCTTAAACATTAGTAGAAGAAGATGTTAAAAAATGTAAGGAAATGGGACAAACACTTGTCAAGTGAGGAAAAATGTCAAAGGACAGAGTGACACATAGCTCTAAGAATTAAGATGAAAATCAGAGAAGATACCAGGAGTATTACTCAGAGGGTGAATTAAGATGGCTGAATTTGCTAACAAAAACAGTGTCTTTTTTGCTCACATTTATTCTGTACTGAATAGGGACAACATGTATTGTTGAGAAATCGAAAGGATGCTGAAAATTTAACTTACATTAAAGCTTATGTTAAGGGAGAATTTCTTTTCAGGACTCATCTGGGTTCATTCATGGCAAAGTAGAGAATTTCTTGGTTTGTTTCAAAATGCTAGACAGTATACGTAGTAAGATAGTAGAGCAACTTGGAAATGCTTAATGGATTTTTGCCTATCATAAGTCCATGTAACATGCTCAGAGTAGAAGAGGCAAGGAGTGTGGGGGAAGGACTGCACTGTTGTCCCTCCAACAGTCTGAGAACCCTGCTAGGAACTGTGACCTGAGACTGCCTCAGGTGCTAACTACCAACCAGGACCACAACATGGGCTTAAGAAATTATGTACAGTTGCCTGTGTATATTTAATTGATTGCCCTTTATCCAGCACAGTTTTAGCCTGATCCAAGTAGCACTTTCCCAGGCAATTCCTGAACACAAATGTGGGATCCCACGGAGCAGGGACTTTTTCTAATACACACCATGAGCAAGTCCGTGTTAGTTTGTTGGGGAAGAAAGTCTAGCCATACAGACATTTATAGTGGTGTGCAACTAACTTTGAAGGCCAAAGAGCAAGCCCTAGTCCAAGATTTAAACTTTATTCAAATTTTGATATGTCCTTTGTTACCTGTAATAAGCTTTGCCTCAAAGAAAGAGCCTTTAAAGGACTTGGGCATAGGATTTGCTTCTCTTTCTTGGCTGATAACACATGCACTTGGAGATTTCTTAAATAGGTTAGGTTTACTATGTTGATGGACAGCAGAGTAGCCCTGGAATATCATCCTGAATCAGTCTAGGTCTCCAGGATGTCTATATGAACAGAGAAATATTTAGGAAAGGAAACAAAAGGAAAGTAAACCCACTTTCATTAGAAGAGAGAGAGATCTTTTGGCAATATAAACCATATTTTCTGAACGTGGAAACAATTGTGAAAACTGATCCATGAAAATTCTTCTTGCTGAACAAGAAAAACAAAAGACATCTATTTCAGAAGTGTAGAAATTAAATCAGAAAGGGTGTACAGGCCTCAAAAAGTATAATGTTGAGTAACAGGGATAAATTCTGCTATCCATGCTCAAGTCACTTTTCCACAAAAATCAGAAGGAATTTGACTTTGGACTAGTGACTGCAGTTTTGGTTTCTGTCCTACTCCGTAGTCCAATTAAAGACCAGAATGAGATCTACTCAATGCTGTCTGTGTGGCCTCCTTACGGTACAACTGAAGTTCCTCTGCCTAGGGAAAGGCGACTCAGAGGTAAAAAGGCTCTGTCCATCTCCGTTGACCCTTTGGGTTTCAGATGAATTCCTCAATTATTTTTACTCAAACATATCTGAATATTCAAAGAAAATAACCGAGTAACATGGTGACAATTCTGGAAATAATGAACTGTAAGCCACATGCAAATCTAAATTGTTTTTCATGTTTGACAAATGCACTAGTGCCTAGTCCAGACAGATATATGTCCAATAGATATTTTGCAAACCAAAATTATGTTGGGCTCTTTCAGAAATTATTACAAGAATGCATCCTATGACATAAAAACTCTTTATTTTGCTTGCCAGCATCACTATCTGTGATAGAAGCAACTCCAGAAGGCAGGCCAAATAAAAGCCTGATTATTGAGCCCTAAACAGCTGGCCACCCTTCAGAGAATGCTGTTTTCTCTTTATCTGAGGAGCTGCCATTAAGAATTTAAATGATTCCTCTGAAGTTGAAAACCACAGTTCCCAACCTCCTGCTCACAGTGCCTTTCCTTCAGAGTTGTCGGGCATTTGCCATGTTTGCTTTCAATACCTCAAACACAGAAGAGCATACTTTTCAAAACTTCAGTTGCTGTTCATTTGAAATAATTTTGCCAAACAAACTAGGTACTCTCTTATTTTGGAAGCTGTTAGGATTTTCTGCTAGTGTCCCACATTAAATGTTGCTTCTTCAACACTGTTTGAAAAAATAAGTAATTGTAGGCTGGCTGCAATCTACATTAGTTTCAAATAATACAAGTTGACTAAGAAATAAGAACCACTAAAGAGACAAGTTTCCAAGCTGGTCTGGGCAGTAGATCAAGGAGGTCTGAAATAGAGAAAGGATATTGAAATGAAAAGAAAAGCTCAAGAAGTGAAACATCTTTAATTTATGCTATGGCAGTACCTTGTACATTTGGAAGACATGAAAAAAAATTAAGGTTCCAGGTCTCATGTCTGAATACAGTAAATTTAAAAAAAAAGAAAACAAATACCATGAAGTGATAAAATGTGTCTGAGAAAATATGGAAAATAACTTTTATGCTGTTTTTCTAAAATCCAGCCCAACGTTATGCAAATTTTGATTCAGCCTGGATAACTCCCAATTGGTGATTTCAGAAGGGTTCTGTTTTTTCTCTGGGCTGTTTATATTCTCTTTACTACTTTTTATTAGCCTAAAGAATCTATGATTTAAAAGAGTAATGCTGAACACATGTATGTTAAAAATATACTTGTTTCTCTTTCAAAATGAGACAGCTCCAAAAGGGTTTCTGGGAATGCAGAATAAAATCTATTTATCCCAGATGATGACTGCATAGAAGAAAGTTGAGATGAGAAGGTGGATACTGTAGCAGTAAATGTATAATGATAAATGATAACTGAAACAGGAAAATCAATGTTGCACCACATGTGAAACCTTCAATAGCATGGAAGTATCTAAGTGATTAATTTCATTTAGAACATCCTTAGACTGCTTATCTACACAAAATGATTACACAGAGGGCTGTCTGTAAATATGATGAAAACTATCTTTGCCAGTCTCTTTGCAAGTCTT